CTGCTCATCTGTGGTCTGATAGTCACAGGGACCTGTGGAGAAAGGTATGGAGGTGTTCATTTGAGACACTGCTGGAATAAGAATGTAACTACTTCCAGGTCTTTCTGTATAGCCCTTTTTTATGTACTACTTTTTTTTTTAATTCAGAAAAGGTTCTTTCAACAGAAATTTTTCTTTGATTGAAGTTTATCCTTAGTGAACCCTTCCTACACTTTGCTCTCAGATGATACAAGAAGTATTACCTGTGTGGACCTGTTCTCTTACAAAGTTCACTCATAACTTTGTTCACCACTCCCCAACACAGAAACATCTTCACATAATCCCTCACAAACACACTCTGTGCACCAGTGTAAGATCTCCAACCTGTGGGGTTACAAAGAACAAGAGTCCTGGAAAGCTCCCGCATTTCACCCAAATCCTGTGCCAGTGTTGCATGGATGAGATTTGGCTGTTACTAGACTGCCACTGCCCCGCTGTGAGCTGCACACTGTCTTCAGGGGTAGCCTCAGGAGGTGGTCACTTGGGCTGTGCAGGTACTGAGAGCTGACCTTGACACTTCTGCACCTGTGGAGAGTTGTGAATTCACTGACTAAAAGTGTGTCTTCCTTGCAGCTCCAGTTCTGGTGCTGGCTGGCCTCTGCAGTGCTATGGCTTGTTTCTACGTCATCTTCTTCCACACTGACTACAAGCGGCTCTGTGCTGAGACAGACAGTGGTGATTTGGCTAAGGCAGAAGATACAGCAACAGCAGATGTTCCTGAAGCCTAGCCAGGCCAAAAAGGGGATGCCAGGGGTCCAGTAAGGGAAGAATTCAGGTCTGCGGGCAGGGACCATGACTGCAAATGCTCAGCTGGCACACTGGGGTATCTGGGTCCTGTTGCATAATAGGCAAGGGCTAGGGCAGAGTCACTGGAGCACCTTTGCTGTGCTTCCCTCAATGCTGTATTTATTTTTGAGTCTGGGCTGTAAGAAAGGCTGTTCTGACAGAAATGTCAAAGTGGAACTGGGCAACTGTGCAGGTAACAGGATTTTTTAGCTGACGTGAGTGAAGGTAAAAAAATGTTGCAGAGGAGAGAACATTATATTTCAGCCATTTTGTTCATTTTCATGTACTTGGATTGTGGGGGTGGGGGGAAGCTTTCAGAGGGATGGAAGCCATACCTACCACAAACCCAGTGGAAAACAGCACGGCATCTCTTCTGCTCTAACGTTGGAGCTAATTATGCCTCTTAGCTAAAGGGCAGTAGGAGCTAGAACATCCTTCCACTGCAGCAGGTAAGTGTAAATATGTGATCTGCAATACAAGTCTGTTCCAATGAGCCACTTTGTCCACTCCTACAAACACGAAAAGAAAAGCCCTGCCTACAGTGCTGCCTGTGAAAGCAAGCAGCAGAAGTTAAGTATAGCAGCATTTCTCACCTTTCTGGTCTCCTGCCAGATGCTGAGACATTCAGGATAAGCTTGTTCTACTTGGTTTTCTGTTCCTTCTCCACCTCTCCTGCAACTCCAGTGGTTTAAGTTTTCCATAAGAAAGTGAACCTGCTGGTCTTATATTGGGGTAGGTCACCTTCCTCAGGCCAAGTCATGCTCTCCTACAGGGGAACACTGAGAGGACAGCTCACTTTTAGGGGAATGACAGAGCAGTGCCTGGTGAGGTGGAAGCTGGCAGAAGAACTAGCAAAGGTGACCACTTGGACAATGCAGGGACCTGTCATGTTTCTGCAGATGATAGGGGCTTTTGGAAGGAGACCAAGTAAGAAACATCATCAACAAACACCTTCCATCCATCTCTACAACTGACAGCTGTTCTTCAGTGTTAGAAGAGATGGATAGTGACAGAAAAGGTACTATTTGGAGTTCAGTTACCCTAACAATTGCAAGGGCAACAACTATATTTTTCATTTTACAGTATTTCTACAGCAGTTCATTGTCCTGCTTAGGTGTTCAGGTATAGATGTAACCTGACAACTTTGTAATATTACAGTGGTAAAAAAATGAGACACATGGGACTTGGTGATGCTTCAGACCATGCATCTTGCAAGGGGATCTGAGTACTTAACTGATTAAGGGAACTTGATGCAAATTGGACCTCTGGCTTTGCCCAGTCCAGCTAGAAGATGATCCCAAAGCAAAGGATGTACTTTCCATGAGGAACAGTGTACAGAGAAGCTCTCTCAGTGTCTGAATTCTCTTCCTCATTAGCAACTGGAAATCTCTACCTTTGAAAAACACCTAGCTGCATCCTTTTAGGGAGCCTGTTAGTCCCTACAGCTCCAGTCTTGCTCTCCCCTGTAAGCACTGACATTTGTCAAAAGGAGCAGGAAGGAAGTCTGAGGTGAAACAAGATCAGTTTGGACCTGCCAAAGAGATGAGGTTAGCTGTCTTTTCTGAAACTAGCTGGTCAGTTCTTCAGCCCTGGACCTAATAACGCTGAACAGATTAACAGCAAATTTACCTGCCACTCCTGAATCCTACTGTACTGGAAAGCAAGAAGCACTTTGTACTTTGTAGTTTTATACATTTACAAATACTTACTTGTTTTTAATAAAAGTTTAAGAAAATAATAATCTTTTCTCAACATGTTAAACTAATAAAAGTATTTTATAGATGCAATGGTGCATGAGATCTGCTATGTAGCATAAACCAGAAGTCTCCGTATTTGCCAGGTGTACATTAAGTTGTGCTCAAAATGATGATGTGGTGCCCCAGACCAGGGATCCTGTCCTAGGTTCAGCTACAGCAGTCATTTTTTCTCCTCCTTAGTAGCTGGTGCAGTGCTGTGTTTTTGACTTTCAGCGTGGGAACAACGCTGATTGATAACACCGATGTTTTTAGTTGTTGCTAAGTAATGTCTACTCTGACCAAGGACTTTCTCAGTCTCATGCTCTGCCAGGGAGGAGGGGAAGCTGGGAGGAGGCAGAGACAGGACCCCTGACCCAAACTGGCCAAAGGGGTATTCCATACCACAGCACGCCATGCCCAGTAGATAAACTGGGGGGAGTCACCCGGAGGGCCCAGATCGCTGCTCAGGTTCGGCTGGGTATCGGTCAGCGGGTGGTGAGCGGTGGTGTCCTCTTCCCTTGTTATCTCCCTTATCACTGTTACTGGTAGCAGTAGTGGTTTGTTTTTTTCCTTTGTTTTTGGACTGTTTCAACCCGTGGTATGTACATTCCTCCAGTCCTCCTCCCCATCCCTCTGCGAGCGGGGGGAGAAAGAAAAGGGGGAGTGAGCGAGCGCCTGCGTGGTTCTCAGTTACCAGCTGGGCTTAAACCACGACAGATGGATACACACTCTTGTACCCTGCACACAGCTGGGGCCTGGACAACTTATGTTGCAAGAAAGGTTGTTCAGCAACCAAGACCGACACAGCAGACAGTCTTGAGGCCCCTAGAGCAGCTCAGTCCAAAGGCTTTCTGCAGGACATTATCACCATGTCTCCAGGGCAACTGCTCAGTGAGGTACCCCAACAGGCTTCCTGCAGCCCCTCAAAACATCCAACTCTCTCTGTTCTCTCTCTGCAGCTTCCCCTAGGGACTGCAGGGGACTGGCAGAAGGGCAAGTTCACATGAGCCTGGGGATGAGGTATGCTGCAGTCTGAAGACAAAGCTGTTCCTGCCCAGTCTGTCCCGTACTGGCCAGGCTTGGCTCTAAGTGCTAGGAAGGTAAAAGGGGCAGGGGCTGTATCGGAGAAAAGCAGCCCCAAGGATGCTCCTGTGAGTACAGCCACCTCATTAGAGACTTGTAAAGAGGTTCAGGTGAGAGCCTTTGTACTGCCATGGGATGAGCTGTCAGAGTCCAGTACTCCTGTGCTGCACCTCTCACAGGGGGTAGTGGACATACCATCAAAGTCCACATTGACTCCACAGATGCCTGCTTACCAGCACAGGCAGGCCTGCCTCTATGGGACTGAGTCACCCTGGCTGGAGTTAGGGTGGAGGTTGTCTACACTTTAAACACCACCCCCTCCCCCATTAAATCAAACAAAGCTAACAACGGTACTGTCTTTTTAACGAAGTTAAAGCAAACCTGTCATCAAAGTGTTAAAAATCTGCAGAAAATTTAAAACACAAGATAGCTTTTTGTTTCTTTGAAAGAAATAAAATACTGTAGAAAAGCCGTCAAACCTGTGTATAAGCTGTAAGAGATAAAAATATTGCAGTGATTGGAGCTGTTAGCAGAAGCAACACATAATTAAAACCCCACAAATTATGACAAAGGCTGGAGTAGCCATTCTGTCAGCTGTTATTGCCCTTTTTTGTGATCACTGTGCTCAGACACCTTTAGCCCTGAGCAGAGACTCAGCAAGCACGACAGATTCAGGCTGAAAGTGAAAAGCAATTCTACTTCGGTGCTACAGACAACTTTCTTGTGCCTCATGCACATCGAATCCCCACAACCTCAAGATCTATTGTGTGCTTCTGACATTCATCTACACCTCTCTGTCATGTTTTTCACAAGGATTTCATGGCCTACCACTGAAAGCAAACTATAATTTACCTTTCTGGAGCTC